TGTATAGGAAATTATAATGGTTGAGTTATAGCTTAGTGAATCACTTTGTACAAGTGATGATTATAAATTATAATGCATATTAGATTTCCTCTCTAGTGAGATTAAACTTTTCGGAGAACAAGAAAGTAAGTTTACATTAATTAAAATACATTTTGCACAATTTAACACATCATTAGGAATATCACCGAGTGACCTTAATCGAAACTGAATAAACGGTATTAAAGACTAAAGCCCTTCTAGTTAGATGAATATTTAATGCAATTTCAATAGTCATTAAGTAGGTACACATCTTGGGTCTTAAGGTTAGGTTTTTTAATTTTGATTAAATTGTTTTTTTGTATAGGTAAAGTCACTAAATTATATTGACTGTTGTAATAAAATGTTAAACCAAGTTCTTAGAATAGCTGCCTAAATTATCCACTTTTAAATGTCTCTTTCGAAGAAATGTTTCTTTAAAATAATTTAAAACACAAAAATAATACGTTTTTGAGCTATATTACAATAATATTTTCCACGAATATTTCATTTCATTCGTCATAATTGATACTGAATTAGTGATAATGCCATAAAAAATAAGTAGTTGTTACAAATTGTATAAATACAATATTTGTTATTATATTTGTAGGTACCTAGGTAGGTACATATATATTATTTATTTTTTTGCTGACACGATAAAGTTCAACAGTTGTCTGTTTGAATAAAATATTATCGAATAATAAATACCGTATAGTTGGTATAATATGATGTATTGGTGCCTAATACATTTTCAATATTTGTAGGATTTGAAATCGGAGAAAAATTTCAGTTTTAATATTGATACTTAAGTTATGATTGTTTTTTTTAATTTAAATTTTAATTTACATTATCTAGTCAGAGTGATTTAAAGGCATATAACCATTTGCCATATATTGTGTACCAATACCTATGCGGCTATGCTTGTAAAAATCGTTTTTATGTAAAACGTAAATAATTATGGAAGATGGGATAACAATACTTTCCTATACACATTATATAATATTATGTTTATGGTTTAATTTATATATGTAACTATAGTAAGTACCTATATACCTATATAGTATATACTATATACATAAACGTTAAACGTATAGAATAAGTTGTTTTCGTATTTAGAAGACAATATGATTATTGATTAGTAATTACTAGTTTATACATACTTACTTTATACCTACGAAGACTTGCAGAAAATTAAGGCATTTATGTGTCATAAGTATTTATGTATATTTGTTGTTTAATAATATATTATATTATTAGTTATATAGGTAGAAAACGCAATCAAATTGTATAATTCGTGGCTATAAATTATAATTAATGAAGCTAAATTGTACATTGATTCGTGATTATAAATTTATAAGTGCGATATCATGACGAGTGTGTATAATGTGCGCATCATGATTATAAACATAATAATATTATTGTGGCTGTAGGCAGTTCTATACGCATATATATATATCTATATATATCAGTACCTTTTACTGCAGTTAATACAAATTATGCTGTTTATTGGTACATTATGAGAAAATAATATTATAAACAATACACTATAATATAATATGCTATTATACTATAATATGAACCAGTGGAGTCCGCAGGATTTTTCAATGGGGGGGGGGCTTTAAAATTAGTTACATTTTTATTTTATTTTGTCCAGTCTAATAATTTCAGACGTTTATTTGAGGTATTTTAAAATGTTTGTAACTTTTCAAATTTTCTGGTAGAAAAAATGCTCTGATCATGTAGTTGCATGTAGTTAGCATGTTGTAAGCATGTAGTTGGTACTTTTAGGTGGTCGAAATTGAAAATTCTCAGTGCTTTTAAAAATAATTGGAGAAAAAAAAATGAAAATTTATTTAAATGTTTGGTTATACCGTCTTCACTTAGATTGTATTTGAATAATTAAATTTTTTTTTCTTTATAAATGTCAATAAAAAATTATTTATCCGGTTAAAAACCTTAAAAATGTAATACATAAGTTATTTTATTATAGCTAAAATATTAACGATACATAGGCATAGTGTTTGAAAATTTCATGAAATTTAAAAAAATGAAATATTTCAGTAGGTACCTAGGTATTTTGATATATTTTGTTTTATTTTTAAATAAGTTTTATATTTACATATAATTGTCATAAATTACCTTCATAACTATATGGTACCTGTATGTATACCTAACCTTTGGTATTATACATTTAAAATGGTATTCAAAATTTTTAAATATTTTAATGTTTAAATGATACAAGTAGGTATACAATATTATACATGTATTTTGTATAAATACTGGATTCTGTCATTAGAATTTAGAACACCGAACAATGTGTCAAAAAAATAAATAAATTGTGTTTTTATTTGTGTAAATAAAAATTTCAATGTGTCACGTTTTTGTGAAATATTTGATATTTCATACTTCAAACACTACATAGGCATCATGGTTATTTTTTATAAGCATTTAAAGTTCAAATTTCGTCAAAATGACACTATTAATTTGTAGTTCAAAACTTATAAAATATAAAATATATATAGCTAAGGCTAGACAATTTAATACAAGGTCTTTCATACAAGCAGTTCTTACTTTTTCCTAAAAATTACAGATAATTTATGAAAATTGGTATGCAAATACAATGTTCTTTCAAAAATGAATTCATTCTGGTAAGACATATATGAAATTTACTTCTGGCTTACTATAGTTGACAGTTTAACTTGATTAATATTTTTTTGAAAAAGTAACAATAATACCGGCAATGGGGGGGGCTTCAGCCCTTTAGCCCCCCCCCCTGCGGACGCCACTGATATGAACGAAATCATCATCTTAGAAAATAACTGGTTACCTATATTGTGAGGGTGTATTATTATAGGTGAACCTAATATTTATAATGTTAAAAATTTAAATGTGAATTGGGATGCTATGAGGTAGTCTGCAGATATTAAATTATTCGGTTTGAGAAAATTTTATATTTAGGTAGGTACCTTCTGCAAAGCAATATAATACTATAGGTGTATATATATATATAAGTATGAATGCTTGTTATAGTAAAGTTATACCCTGATAGGTATAGTCTATAATAGTATAATATGTATTTTGATATTTAGGTATATATTAATATTATAAGCAGTGATATAATATAATATCACACAGATATACGTAGAGAATCGTGGTAATATTCTTCGGTTTTCCTAATAATTTCTTATACAGACTTGTGTTTGATATAATAACATTACATACACATGTAACGGCAGTCAAATATATAAACTTAAACCTATAATATACTTACAGGTTCTGTGCGGAGTTGTCGGAAAAAATTCGGTTTCCCCGCAAATTGTATGCTAAAGCTGTTATTACAAGTCACACCCATCATTATACGATTAACCTATATAAATACATAATATACTTATATATTATTATAATATAATATGTCACACCGATACACGCGCATACACTGCAATGTTCTGCATATTTCATATAGGTATTACGCGTGTATATGCTATAATATTACGTGTGAAGTTTAATATTAACTATGTACCGTTTTCCTCGTCAAAATGCAATACAACTACTCAAAAACTCAAAATTCACATTATTATATTATTACAATACAAGTACATCATGTAATATTGTATGCGTTATAGTATAACAGTATGCTGCTGTGTGGCACTGTGGCATAACACATGATGGCCTGAGGCACGTCGAGATGATAATTTTACACGATTTATAAAAAAGCACGTTTGTACAATTTTTTATATGTTGTAATATCGAATTGAATTTATTTTACTTAAAACCGTACACATGATAAATATTTATAAATATAATATACACATAATATAAATATATACATATTATTTAGGTAAAATATAGGTACACGGTATATTTATAGGACACGACCGCAATGCGACAAAAGTCACATTACAAAATATACACGTACATATATCGTATTATTGTATTTGTATGTATAAGTATAATATTGTATTGTTGTATATATATATATATATGTATATAAAAAAAAAAAATACTTAAAGTACAACAGTTTGCTGTGCGTACGCGTATATTATAATATAGTATAGTGCGGTGGCGGCGGCGGCGGCGTCGTTTAAAACCCGGCCAACACCGCCGTCGCCGCGCACGAGACGACGACGAAAAATAGTAATATAAAAAACTCCCATTTTCAACGTACATTTTATAATATAATATTATTATATATTAAATCTATAATTATTTTAACATACTATGGTCAAGCGGCAAACACGGTCGTATGTCGCTCGACGTACCTATATAATGCATATACTGGCACGCGGCGAGCGTCCAATATATACACAATGGTACAGCCTACTACGTTTACACATATAGGTACATATAATTCACAATATTCACATATGTTATACATTCATGAGTATAAAATATATAAATATAAAATATATTATATGCATATATATAAGGGGGGGGGGGGAAACGCAACTACTTACACAACAATTTTTGCATCGCATCGCATAACTATTTTGTATAAATTAATTTTTATATATATTATAGATAAACATAAAAGGTCGTTTTGTAAATTTTTAAACGCGTACACACTAACATAAAATATATACTGTACACACACACGTATAATAATAATAATAATAATAATAATAATAATAATAATAATAATAATAATAATAATAATAATAATAATAAATCTAAAAACGAAACATGACGGTATCAAACACATATGAGTATAATATAATAGTTTATAGGTAGAAGGTACTCGAGAGATTACTAGAAAAAAATAAAATAAAAATTACGCATTCGTTGCGTACCGCGGTCACGCATGCGCGCGCGACAAACACTTGGAAATTATCGAAGAAAAATTTAACGCAAAACGTGGCTGCAATATAATTACTATTGCTGATGCCGCTGTTGCTGCTGCAGGCCCACCGGTGACCACGCTGCCTTCAAACAAGTGGCGGATATTGGTGCTGGTGGTGCTGCTGGAGCTGCTGATGGTGATGGTGATGTCACAACGGCGACGACGATCCGGCCGCGGCGGCAGCGCCAGACACGGACGACGCTGACGATTGCGGTCCACCGGAGGCTGCTGCGGCGGCGGCAGCTGCTGCAGCAGCCGCGGCAGCGTGATATAGCGACGCCTGCTGGTGGTGTGGATGTGGGTGCCCGTGGTGATGTGGATGATGTGGGTGCGCGTGTGGGTGGTAGTAATCGTTATATCCAGCCGTGGTACCGTACTGCGAAGCCGCTGCCATTTCGTACATTTTCTCGGCGGCGGAGGCGGCCGTCGCGGACGATGCAGTGGCTGCGGCCACGGATGCGGCTGACGACGGTTTGTCAGGACGCCGACGCGGCAGCAGCAGCTGAGGCCGTTGGAGGTGGCGGCAACAGTCGCGTAATTGAAAACGGATGGTTGGATGCGGCAAATTCGGCAGCAGCTGCGGCCGCGGCAGCCGCTGCTGCTGAAGACTTGAGGTGCTGTTGCAGTTGCAGTTGCTGATGGTGGCTATGATGCTGCTGCTGTTGCTGCTGGTGCTGTTGTTGTTGTTGGTGATTGTGATGTGCGGCGGCCGCAGCCGCGGCGTAAATGTCTACCGGGCTGTGCTGCTGCTGATGGTGCTGCTGCTGCTGCTGGTGGTGATGCTGCTGCTGGTGGTGTTGTTGTTGCTGGTGTTGGTGGTGTTGCAGCAATGACCCAACCAACATGGACGATGACGAGTCATCGTCGCCACCACCGTGTTGTTGTAAGTGATGGTGCATGTGGTGAACGTGATCGTGGTCGCTGTCATGGTGATTACCGTTGTTGTGGCTATTTTGGTGATCGTGCGTATGGTGGTGGTGCAGAAGTAAATGGTGTTTGCTGTGTTGCTGCTGCTGTTGGTGTTGTTGGTGTTGATGGTGCATGCCACCACCGAATCCTAAGTCTGCCGCAGCGGCTGATGACATGAGCACGCCACCACCGGCACCTAGTTTTTGATTATGGTGGTGTTGCAGTTGAAGCAGGTGGTGGTGGTGGTCAGCAGCAGCGGCGAGTACGGAGGAGGACGACGCCGATGACGGCGGTACCGACGACGACGGCTTCTTATCCAGCACCATGTCTAAATGGTGCTGCTGATGATGATGGCCACCACTTAGTTGATGTTGGCCGCTGAGCTGGTGTTGACTGCCACCGCCACCACCGCTGTGTAGCATGGGTGACGAACTTTTTGAGTGATTGTGGCCGCCGTGGTGCTGATGGTGATGACCACCGTCACCGTGTTGCCGGATCGACGAAGCGTCTTTTTTGTCGTCTTTGAAACGTTTTTGCCGGCGAAGGTAGCAACCATTCTCGAACATGTTGCCAGAGTCTGGGTGCAATGTCCAAAACGAACCCTTACCTGGTTTGTCGGGTGTCCGGGGCACTTTAACAAAACAGTCGTTGAACGACAGCGAGTGCCTGATGGAGTTCTGCCACCGCTGTTGATTTTGCCGGTAGAAAGGAAACAGATCCATGATAAACTGATAAATTTCCGAAAGTGTGAGCATTTTCACCGGCGAGTTTTGTATGGCCATCGTAATGAGCGAAATGTACGAGTACGGAGGTTTGGCGTGCGTGTAGTTCCGGCGGTATGTTTTGTCGGCGCGAACCCGTTGTAGCGCCGCGGCGTTTGCGGCGCCGGTCGGGTCACCGCCGGCACCAGCGGCTGCAGCCGCGGCAGCAACAGCGCGGCCGAAGCGTTCAAACCGTACATGGCCGCGGCAGCCGTTGCGGCGGAATTCATGCCACCGTATAGTTGCTGTTGCATGTTAGCTGCGGCTGAGGCACTGCTCCCGAACACAAGCTGCTGTTGCTGCTGCTGTTGCTGTTGCTGCTGCTGTTGTTGCTGTTGCTGTTGCTGTTGGTGGTGTGACTGCGGAGGCGGCGAGCACAGCGACGGAGTCGATGACGGTCCGCCACCACCACCGGCGCCGGTGGTCGACGAATTCCCGCCGTACATGGCCGCCGCGTTGACAGCAGCGGCAGCAGCAGCCGCGGCCGCTGCCGCAGCGGTCGCCGTATCGGAGTATAAAAGTTTTTGCGACGATAGCATTGTCATAGTTGGCGTTTTTACTTTTACCTATTTATTGGTATAATAATAATTTATTATATTGTACCTATGATGTGACGACGGTTGCGGGCGGGTGCGGACGGCGTTACTTCACGTGCGTATAAGACGCTGTCACTCGCGCTGCAAACACGTAAAATATCAGAGGCTACGGCGGACGAGCAGCGACCGCGACGGCGGGGACGACGGCGAAAACGGTGACGTCGGCGCTAGCGAATGCGGCGATGACGGTGACGGCGGACAATCGTACATAATATTTGTCCACAGCGACTGTACGGCATATATGAAATATGTTTATATAAATATTTTGTAACACTTCCCGTCGCGCTGGTCCGTGTCTCTGGTCCGATGACGGTGGTTTCCTGGCCGCGGCGTCAGCTCTGCTGTCACTTCGAACCGTACGAATGTGTACCGACGTCTCGTGCACGATCGCGATCGCGCATACGGTGCGGTATACTCTCGGCGCGCGGCTCACGAACACTGCAATGATGTACCGGCGGCGGTGAATTCGCGCGCGTCTATGACTATCGCGGACACGGTAACAATCAACGGACCGTTATATGTTATATACGTGTGGTTGACGGCTAATATATTATATACCTACTTGATGCACCGTACAAAATAACGACATGATATTATTATTATGTGTTTGTGTGCGTGCGTGTGTGTTATTTGCTCGCAGGTATATAATGTATTATGTGTACGCGCGGCATATATTGTTCGTTCGGGCAAGGCTGATCGCGGCAAACTGCTGCCGTCGTTAAACCGACCGAGCGAGAGTGTGGTGCCCCGCCGGCCCCGGTCACGGTCCCGGTCGACGGACACACACACACACACACGCGCGCGCGTACACACACACACGCCTAACGCACACACCCACCAAACACGTATACTTGTATACGTCGGTGGTGGGGCCCGGAAGGAGGTGGGGCCGGCCGCCGAACAAATGTAAAATAATACGTGCCGGCGAGTGCGTGCGTGTGATGGTGTGCGCGCGGGCGCGCGCCGCGTTTACGGCGGTACGGCGTGGAGCGCGGCGGCGGTTGACGAGGTGCGCTCGCGCATTGGACGACGTCCGAACCCGACGCCGTACGCGCGCCCCGCCTGCGACACCACGTCGCGACTCCCCCGGTCCGCCGTCGCCTAGACTACGACCAATCGGGCTTCGGCCCACCGTCGCCGCCGGTCGCTACTCCAACCCCACCCCCGACGACGCGATGACGGGTTTTCCGCCGCCGAAGCCGACTGGTTTTTTTTTCGCCGTTCGTTTTTTTCCCACATCAGTCACGTCGCCGCCGGCACACGCACACACGGTCGGTTGTCTTGCCGCCGCCACCAGCGCACCAGCAGCAGATGTTTGGCCCGTCTGTACTTCGAACCGCACCCGCACCGCACCCCGCACCGTGCCATGTAGCGGACTTGGGCGCATATAGTAGGTATAGTGATGTTTCAGTGTAGACGAGCTATACCTGAACGCCTCCGTCACCCGAAGTCGTGGAAGTCGCACCTGAAGAAAATAGAGAGCGCTCGTTTTACTATTTATCAAAATTGTTTTTTCTATACTTACATTCATAATTCATTATACCTATATAGTATGTGACATTGATGTAATATTATGATATATACAATTGAATACATGTAATAATACGTTGGTGTATAATATTATATGTATATATTGAATAAATATACATTATAATATATTATATATGTTGGACGTTGGTATAAGTACCTATATTATAGTTGTAATATTATGTAGGTATTATGCGATGGTGTGATGTGCGTTTAACGGTCCCGTATAGAATTACCCGATTCGCCTTTTAATTGTGGCGTCGGTGTAGTAACAGTATCCGTTAATCCCGCACTGAACGCGTTTACATATTATCATAAGTATTATTAATAACGTGCCTTGTATCTTTTTTCAAAGTTATAGATTTTTACATAAAAGTAGGTGGCTATATTTAACTATTTAAGTATCTGTAGATACTTACCTATAATATCATCTAAATGTTATACCTACCTATATTATACATGCAGTGTTTTGGGTTGTACGTTGTGTGTATGTATATGTAGGACCTACAAGCTAATTTCTAGTCTTATATAGATTAATAGAATATTCAACATAGTAACTATATGTTTATATATATAGGTACACATGGCAAGGGCAAAATTATTAAAATTATACTTCCCCCTCTTATTATATGCCTATAATATTATACCATATGTCTATATATTAATTAATAAAAAGAAATCTTATAATTTGATATTTTTCATAGGTACTATAGGTAGGTACCTACATGGCTACATATAAATATATAATTCTAGTCTACAGCAATCTATATTCAGTATAATCGTATAAGTATAATATATACCTACTCTATTTGATAATGTTTAATGTGGCCAGGGGGTAACCATCATATAATACATACCTAGAGATATCTAGAGAAAGTAAAATATAAGATATCCAGAATTATACAGTTAAACCTATCTATTGTGGGCAGATTATTCTGCATGGTGCCTATATTATATTTATGCACCCATAATGTAGGTTTAAAACAAAAGAATTACTGTTTACAAAGAAATAATATTTATATTTTAAATACAAAGTAAAACACTTTCCCCCTTATATCTTATAACGATTTTAATGTTTACCCCAGTTAGTTATAGGGTGTAACATTATTATATAATATATTTTAACATATGGTTCTGTACAACATATGCCCGACCCGTATATACCTAGTCACCTATATATAATATATTATGATATATATAAACCAATGCGTATGTGTATATTGTGCTTTTTTATATTTTGTCTGCAGAGCTTTTATAAATACATTACTTTGACAAAAGACTACATACATCAGTCGTGGGAGCTGGAGATATAGACGAGTGAACACTGAACTGCAAATTTCAATATAATTTACTGCAAATGCTATGGTTCCGGTGGTATTATAGGGAACCATAATTATATTATATAGTTGGCGAAAATTTCTTAACTGAATTATATTTTGGTACCTGTATATTAATTATTTTATATTTAACCATTCGTGTCAATTCTATAGACCAGCGTTTCTTAACCTTTTTTAAATCTACTTTCATTGATGTAACCCCCTATTTTTTTTAGCTTTTTAGCTTTTTTATTTAGCTTTCAACAGTTATAAGTTATTATAGCTCGAAAATTAGAACCCATAGTTTGTTTCAATAGTTTAAATATATCATTTTATGTAAAGATTATTTGCAATAAAAATTATAATAATTTAACTTAATAATAATGTGTAGGTACACACTATTCTGTATTTAATTCAAAAAATGTTTTAAACAATAGACAATAACAGTACTTTTTGATTTTAATTATTTTAAAGAGATTAGCAAAATTACTTTTTATTATTACAAAATATATTTTAATATTATTGATAAAAGTTGTATTCTCATATTAGGTTCGGCATCAAGTCACTGTTGCAGGTATTTTGTTTTTGTTGGTACATAGGTGGTGAACCCCGTTTCACACATATAAGTGGTAGCAAATGGTGAAAGTGCCAAAACGGCCTTTTGTGACGATTGAGGATATCGATCTTTTGAAATGCACCAACATTTAACACAGAGATCGATTTAAAATTTAAAAAAAATGCACTCAAGTTTCGAGGAACCTGAAGTGATCTCTTCGGACCACATGGGGTTCCACGGAACACAGTTTAAGAAACTATAGACCATCATCATAGTCGACGGTTGTGATTTATAGGTACACACCGCAAGTGTAAGTCCTATGACTTTCATGTATATGTTTATTTTAATTATTTTATTTTAAAATTTTGTTTCAATAAATTATTAACAATATAGCAGCGAGCCGATATATATACCGCTACACTATATATATAGTATATACCTATTACAAGCACTGGTAAATTATTATTTAAATAAAATAGGTGTATTGTCGGATCTCGTATGTATTGAGAACATAATAATAATATTATACTGCAGTACCTAAAGCAAAATATAATAAAATTTAGTCTCATATTGTTATCGCTAAAATGTATTTTAAGTAAACACCTATAATGTTCAAGTATAATACTCGAAGTACCTATATATAGGTAAAATATAATTAAATATATAACATTTGTAGGTTATCACCGAACTCACGAGATTACAAAATAATATACGTATGTCTAATGAAAATATTATAGTGACAGTCCAACAAAGGTTTAAAAGATTTAATATGATTTGACTATTATTTTATATAGGTTATTTATTGATTGGATAATATGATACGGCGACCTGATGACCTATAACGAACGAGCGTCAGTGGTTTAACTACAAAATTACGGTACATAATAATATATATTATATACATTATATAAATTACTATTATACCTATCTATATACAAATGCTTTTATAGTTAATGCTTGGTTAAATTGGTTAGTATCAGTGTTGGGTCAACCTACTTTTTAAAAGTAATGAAATTACGTTACTCATTACTTCAAATGTTTTTATTTAAATTACATTTGCTTTACCTAAAATTATTTTTATTACGTTATATTACTTTTTCATTATAAATACCTTACAAAGTTACAAATAACGTTACTTTCTTTATAATTTTTTTTTGAACAATATTCAATTCATATGATTCAATTCATATGTACAAATGTACAATCATCTCACCTATATGGCTATATAGTCATAACTCATAAATCATAATTAATTTTATTCTATTTATTTTTAAACCGAATTCTTTTCTTTTGCTAATAAAGTAAATACAATTTAGTCCTGGTATGTTCAGTAATATTGTTAACTATTATCGGAATCAAAAAATATATATAATTGATTTTAATTTTTCTGGGATATCCTATCGGCTTGTTTTTGTAATACATTCAAAACTATTATTTTAATAACGTGGAAAGTAACGCGTTAGTGCGTTATTACATAGAAAGTACTTTCAAAAGTAATTTGTTACAATTGAGTTACTTTAAGTAATGAAATTACTGCTGCGTTACTGAAA